TAAAGGCTTTGCCATTAGTGATGAGTTTTTGAATGATAGATAAGGAATTCATAACTTTTATTACTTCTTTTTTGTTTTTGCTAAGTGAAAAAAATTGGACCAATGTAATTGGTTACAGTTCTTCACATAAATTTGGACTTGGTTGGCCCATACTGTCATGCCAAATAAAACTTAATTATTTTACATAAATATTATTTGTACCATCGTTATTTTTTATGTGCTGTGAGTTGGGGAAAATAAAATGCACAATTATCCAAGCAATCCATTAGCAGCAGCAGGCACGAAAATATATAAAGTCACGCCTGCCCCTCTTTTCATTTTCCCCATAAATCTTTGACAAGCAATAGGACGAAACAAAAAATTTGTAAGGTACGTGCCAACAGGCAATAGTGAATAGGCAACCACACAAACGTCTGAAATGAAGCGGGAGGCATTCCAAAGTTAAAAGCTTAAAAGTTAAAGAGGGACCAAGAGAGCAGAACGTAGCTAGTGTTTGTGAATAAAGAGAATGGTTTGTTAAAGTAGAGGAGAGGCTCATGCATCCATCCACATCCAAATGCCAACCACGCCAATGGGATATATATATATAAGCTGAATCTGAAAACAGCACAAGGATATCCAACTTTTGCACAGTGAAAGACTGCAATTAACTGTAAAATACATAGGAAAAAGTGAAAGCTTTCCTCCATGTCCTTTGTTTAGTAAAGTTGGTGTCTCCTTTCATTCAACCATCTCCACCTGTCGAAGAAACAAAACGTCAAAAGGAAGAATGGAAGAAGAACAAAGTAGAAAAAAATGAAAATAAAAAGCAAAAACCAAAAGAAAGACCAGATTTTTGCATGGATTGAGATGGATGGATAGATGATTGAGTTATTGGGTTTTGATGAGTTAATTACCAATGAAAATCCCATCTGGGGTGGATCTTGGACATCCTGTTACGGCCATAAGGATAATCTGTTTCAGCTCTTTTGGTGTTTTGGAAAGCACAGCAGCCAATGGAATAGATGCCTATGAGTAAAACAACCATGACAATGTTAAGTACAGAGAGCTTGTGCCAGTCTCTCCTCACATCTTCAAGCACTCCGGCCTTGCACGAATCGCACTGGTAACAAAGCATGGTCGGGGAGTTGTTCCATTGGTAGCAGTCCGGGTCCTGAGCCATCGTTGTTGCTGCATAATTGCATGAAGTTGGAGGCTTGCAGCAACCAGACTGCAATGTATATTTTTAAGCAGCATTATACATACGTTTTTAATTAGCAATATGCATCAAAGAGGAATATATACTAACAGAATTAAGTCTACTATGTACCCACCTACAATTATAATTTGTAGAACTTTAATTGGTGACTAAACCTTAACGTTTGGAATCAAATTGTACACTAGTCCATACAAGTTTTATGTGTAAGCTTTTCTGGACAAAACAAGTAAGAACAGATTACCCGAGTAGTCACTGAACTTTTTGAATAGTAGAGTTTTGGCCACTCAACTTATAAGAGCATGTATTTATCCATTAAATTATCAAAAGTGTAAATCTCGAGCCATCTCGCCTGTTTTCACTGTGAAGTCTGTTAAATCTAGTTATGTCTTGTGACTCATGCAGTCTTTAGATCTAGTCGATTTAATAATGGAAACAGACCGAATGTTCCAAAACTTACATCTCTGATAGTTTAATGGATAAATACATATTGTTAAAGTTGAGTAGCCAAAGCTTTGCTATTCAAAAAATTCAGTGGATCAGGTAATTTGCTCAACAAATAATAAATAACTGCAACTCGATTACCATTAAATTTAATTCGTACACCCTCACTATATTATGCATGTTCAATTTTAAAATAAAATTTGGTCAGGATATGACTAAGATATATACTGTAATATAGCGCATATAAAATTTTTGTCTTCAATCTTCGAAATATTTGTATTTTTCGAAAAATCTCGATTTGATTACTATCATACTGTGTCATAAGAAAGAAACCAAAAAAAAAAAAAAAGAAGGAGATATAGAAAGGCCTAATAGATTGGGATTTTTCGAGTGGTCTCATACAAGAAGTCTACTAACATTCCTCTAAATTTAGGCGGGACAAACTGAATGGATTCTCTTTCAAATTGGTGGTGAAAAGTGATGAATTGTAAACATTCGCAAACCAAACCACCACCAACATGAACACGTACAGTTGCTTCTTGACCACCATAAGGCCTGTCCATCCTCACCCCACCTGGCCCCCAAAAATAGCGAACAGAAATAGCACATGAAAAGGAGACTTGGCAACTCTGTACTATGACAAATTTAAGTGCCCTTTTTAGTTTTTACCTCCAGTATTTAGCGTGCCTTCAAGAATTATGTTGTACCTGAGTCCTCCCACCAATTGATTTCTAAACAATCAAAATCTTCTACTTATTTGGGGGAAAAAAATAAAAGGGGAAAAAAAAAAGAAAAGACAATAGATACCTGAATTGGAGTCAAGTCTTTGTTGAGATAATCATAAGGAGTCCACATAACAATGCTAGCACAAGTTTTAGAACTCAAAATACAATTCCGGATGGCCATCCAATAGTGAGGATCCTCAACTCTCTTCCTCAACCATGGAGAATAATCATTAAGGTGATACTCTCTATAAACCCTCCCCTCAACCGGATGCCCTCCACCTTGGCTCGTCACCACGAACCCGAAAACTGTCAGAGCCATCAAAGCTCCTATGAGAAACAGCATGACCAGCAAATACACCCACAGAGCCCATGCAACGTTGAAACAAGCCCCAATAAAACCAGCCAGCGATATTATCAGAATCACAAAGCCGATCACCAGAAGGGGTGTTTGAAGAAAGCTTTCACAGGTGGTGCTGCTCTTAGCCATCCATAAACCTGCACCGATGATCGGGATTGAGGCTAAAAGTGTGAAGAGGTTCAAGAAACCTATTACTGTATTGCTAAATCTGTACATTTCTTTCTAATTTTTACTACTGCTACTAGTTGTAGTATTTGATCGCTCAGTGAAGTGTACAACTGTTATGTGCGTATTGTAGGTGTTTTGTGGGTTCTTGTGTTGGGGGGGTGTCTTGTTCAGCTTTTGCTTTTGAGAGGGAGACAATGGTTGGGAACTAAAGAATTGTGAAAATGTGTATCAGCCAGCTTTGCTTCATTGCTTTTTGCTGCGGGTTGAGGAATAATAAGTTAATCAGAGAGCTTTATTTGCAACTGGTGACAATGACTATAATGCACTTCTTAGCTATTAAGGAAACTCTAGTTGGATTTCTCTAAAAAACCAGTACATGCTGCAAGCTTAGATTTTATATGCTTTACTGCACGCACTAAAGGCAGGTGCATACTGCATACTCTCTCTTTTTCTTTTTCTTTTTTAATTCTCTCATCCCTCTCCACCTTTTTCGTTCCCAACTGTTAAACACAGAATTTGAACACTGAAGAAGATCTTAAAAATCCTATCCTAAGGCAAGCATATACTTGCACCAGAAAAAAAGGCTAGTATATATTACACTGGTAAGATTTTCATGCAAGACCTGTTACTCAAAGAGCTTCCGTCTTGATTTTTTTTTAATGCTAATGATGAATGACGAGTTGATTTGTTTTGGCAGTTACTGGTTCATTTTGTCTTGAATCTTGGTTGGACTTCAATCAAAAAAAAAAAAAAAAATCTTGATTGGACTTAGAAGCCATGTTTAGATGTAGTTATCAAACTCGACACAACGTTGTTTAATTTTGTTCAAGCGTTTTTTAGTGCACAACAATTTGCCGAGAAAATAGTAATCTCTTTTCTTGCAAACTTGGCTATTGAGACATAAGACACAGATGAAAAAGTTCAAGTTACTGTTTTCAGGCGGTGCTGGAGGGTTAAGGCATCAGCTGAATTATTCATAACTCGTGGGTAGAAGGCAAGCAAAGCATAAGGGACAATATAGTCAATGTATGTAAAGTGGCTTTATAGCTTTTAGGCATGGATATCAATTTTTTGCTTGTTCTTAAAGCATGATGATCAGAATGGAATTAGGACTGTGGAATATTTTGATTGTTTCTTTCTTATCTTCTCATCTTGGGCTCCTTCTTCTATTCCTTTTTTTTTTTTTTTTTAATAATTGATTTCCCAGTTTGATTCGCTTTTAGATTCCACAAATACATTTATTGCTAAAAGTTATCAATAATTCGTGATCCGTTATCTTACAAAGTTGTCGACCCTTTAATCCTTTATAGCCACCAATTTTTTTTAAGTTTTTTAAAACATGGTGCTGCCCAGAGAATCCTTTAAAGCCACTACACTATGGTTCCAGAGAAGGGAGAAAAATTAAGTAGTATATAAATAGAGAAGTGGTTGAACCACAGGAAAAGCCCTTTAAGGATAAATAATATTTATTTCAATCGTCCCTCAACTTCTAATCAAGATCTTAATTGATCCCTCACTCTAAAAAGTGTTTATTAATTAAGTCCTAAAGTTTCAAAATTGGCTTTAATCTCAGGCATCTATCTCTGAAATACTCAATCCTCTCTTAATCATTTAGTTGAATTTAATTTCGTGATAAACTATAATAAGGATGGCGGATAAAAGGATTGGCAATACAATTTTTGCCGGTGGATTGTAATTGAGGTAGCTATTTTCACTAGTTAAACCTTTGCGAGTAAATCAATTTTTACAACTAAATAAGGATCAATACAAATAGAGTACAGCTAATTGACATTAAAAATAACCCACACAAAAGGATGGAAATAACAAATTACATATGATGGGACAAATATTAACCAGTTTCATGACACCCCATTTCAGCAGCCAAAGCACCTTTAAGAGTGACTCTTGACCAATTCATTAATCCTGCAAAGTCTTTTTTTTTTTTTTTTTTTTTTTTTTTACCCTTACAGAAAACAAAAAGCTCTAATGCGCTTATTTCTTGAAATAAAATAAAAATAAAGAATGGCAGCCAACAATCAAATCATTACCCAAGTATGAACAGTGAAACAATCCCATATGTATAGAGCTCTGAAATTGCTGGGGAACTTGCTTCCTAATCCTTTTGGGTACTCAAAAAAGTTTACTTGGTGATGAAGGCAGATTTTTGTTTTTCAAGAAATGGTGAAAAAGAGTCAAAGCAAGCCTAGGGCGGCCCAATGGAACTTCATGCCCAGCTCCTCTCACCGTCACATATGTCAAACCTTCATATACTTGGCTCCAACCACCAACCTATATAGGCAGATAATTTGCGTAAAATATCCAAAGGAGGAATTCATGACAAATATATAGCTCAATCAAAATGAAACATAATTTCAAGACTAAGTGGTTCTATACGCACTTATATAATGTCACTAACCTTTCGCTTGTCATACCAAGCATACCAATCAGTAATGTTCTTGAGGTTTAGAGCTTTCAAGGAATAGCGGGTAGCTGTGAGCGGCAAAACTGCATCTGTGTCTCCGCTGTTTAATCAATTTCCAGATTCACTAACCATCAAATTTTTGTGGGTTTTTTTTTTTTTGGGTTCACTATAAAATAATCGTAAGTCAAAAACTTTTGGATCCATTTTAAGGTAGGATTAACCAAGTCAATCGAAGGAAGAAGATCAAACATGCAGTCTAATTAATTTACTTACCTAAAGACCCATAGTCGGTGGCCTGCTGCTATAAGTTCTTTGAAAATGGGGAGCATAGATTTCGGGGAATCAGTCCAGCTGCTCCTTATAACTTCACTGCAATGCAAGAGGCTGAGACGTCACATTGGTCTCTACCAGTTCTTTATTTATTTATTTATTTTTGCGAAGTTTGATGTGTTTTGAGGTAAAACAGGTTATTTATGCGACAGCTTAAGCTTTTCAACATTTATTTTTTGTTTCATTTTTTATTTTCTCAATTATATTTTATCCATTTCTAGACCTCTCAGTTCTCTTTAGGTTAATTGTAGTCCAAACCTGCAAGTCATCCAAGGATGAGGAAGTTGAGTAATGTTGGCATGCAGAGCCTTTTGTACATCCGGATTATTCATGTACACTTTCGTATACTTCACGATGCACTGATCATTCCCTCTGAATTTCCAGGGCTGTATATTCAACAGATGAGGTCCACTTCAGAGCATGTTCAATGTCAAGATCAACAAAATGCGAATAGATACGAATACAAAAGAGATTGTTCAAAGGCATCTAAAGAGATTGTTAGAATATGTTGTAGACTTTCCCAGGATAAAATTAATGAGTGGTCTGGTCTTAGGTGAGGATGCCAAAGACTCACCAGGGGCATATTTAAGTTATTGATGGGGGTTCCGAGGTCGTTGCAAGGATTATCATAAATGGCATAGGGATTGATGTCTCCAAACTCCGAATAAGCACTTTCAAGGGCTTGGAAACACTGGATCCTTGGGAACAAAAACGAGTCATATGGGCAGGATTTGTTTAGTGCCTCATAAGTTGAATCCGAGATCAATCCATGATTCCACCAGAACTCAAATGTTCCTATGTTGTCATAGTAATCATCAATCAGCGGATTCCCTAGCTGCAAAATTTTTGAGTGGAATAAAGATTAAAACTAACTTCAGTTACATAAATGTTATAAGGGATTTTTTTTTTCCCAAATTGTGTTAAATCCTACCAGAAATCCTCTAAAGTTTATGATGGGATTCTTGAGACCCTTGTTGTGTCGGACTATGACCTGAGATAGCTCAGGAATGTAGTGACCTGAAAACCCAGGCAGTTGATCAGATGAAAGGCGTTAAGAAGTGGATCGACTTAATTATGAAGAGGGAAGTCAAAGGCTAGATCAGCAAGGGGGAAGGGGTGATGGAGTATCAAACCTGCATAACTTTCTCCAGCAATGTAAAATGGCCTGTTTTTATATTGAGGGAACCTTTCAAACCATCTTTTCAGAAAGTTATAAGCATCTTTAGCTGCAATTTTAAACCACTATGTCAGTGACCAAGAAAAAAAAGAAACCAATGCCGTACGATTGACCAAACAACCCATGCCCACACACCTGTTCTTTTATCTCCAGTCACCATATCAAATGAAGTATTCGAATAAGAGAATCCAACACCAGCAGGAGAATCCAGGAATAGTAAGTTGGCCACTGCATCAAATGTAAATTTTAGGCATGCTTTCGTTGTTTGCCATATCTCCATTATTCTGTGTCTGATTCCTTCTACTACTGTTTGATTAATGACTCATGACAAACGCACCAGAAATAACTAAGTTCTGCCCAACTAATCTAAACCTTACTACAAGGGACAAAGCAAGAGAAAAAATTAAATTAGAATAACGCAAGAGTTCAAACTGACAAGTGCTCTAGATATTACAGTCAGTTGATGTACATACCATGATGTCAGCTGTGGAAGCACTTTTAACTTTGTGTTTTGGTATGATAAATATGTGATGCACTTATGAATGTAATCATATCCATTGACCGTTACCTTTGTTCCAAGCATATGGACTCAGACCGAGTGTCTTGCCATCAGGACTGACCCTAAAAGGGCCAACCTCCTCCGATGCGCCATAAGCAATGGATGAGCAGCCAGGTCCACCATTGAGCCACAAAACAAGTGGCTTTGTCTCAGGCTTCTCACTAGCTGGAGATTCAATCAACCAGTAGAATAAAGCCCTGCCAGCAATCTTATCAACTGTTACATAGCCTGAGTATTGAGAGAAAGTAATGTTTGCCGCTTGACCAGGCAACCTGATGATCCTATCACTCTCTTGGTGCCTGCCTTGTTTTGCATTGGCGACAAACATTGATGAAGCCAAATGCAGGGTACCAAAGCACAAAACATACAGAACGAGGGAGCCATTTGATGAGCTCTTACTCATTTTCGTTGAATACTTCCAAGCCATCAGGCTTAGCTTTTCTCGAGTGTTTGTGGAGTTTGGAGTTTCATATCTGAAGGGTAATATGGTGATCATTCATTGCTATTGAAGAGTGAAAACTAAGAAACATTAACAAATAACGACGAGTCAATAAGGGACTAGGATGCCTTGCCTGGTGTGAATTTGAGCTGTATACCAACTGGTTTTGCATTGATTAATCATGTTGCATGTTAGCCTGGCGTGTTCAGCAAAAAAACTTCACTAATCAAGTCATTAATTACTTCATTGTAGCTTTTGGGCGGCAAACGTGCGAGGTTTTAGCATATTTTGTGCACTCGTTTGTTCTAGCTATGGACGTGTTTACTATGGGAAATTAAGTAAGAGAAGAATCAAAAGTCAATATGCGGATCCGCTTGAAATCTTTTACCGTGTTTCATAGAACACTTGTTTTTGTGGCTTGCCTGAAATATACTAACTCATTCTAGCAGCAAATATATGAAATGAAATGGGGGATTTCATCTACGTCCTTTGACCTCAACAACTTAGCAACTAAACGAGAAATGCATCTTATTTGTCAACAATTATTTTCTTTTTTCATCTCTTGTGCTAATTTGGCTTCGAGGTTCAAAATTCAAGTTTACTGTAAAAGTTATGATCTGAACGACTAAATTGGACATCATCGATTCACCTGTAAATAGACGCATATAATTTTGCTCATAGGAGTTTTTTTTTTTTTCTTTTTTTTCTTTTTGCTTGGAGACTAACACCTATTGTGCCTTCATTGGAAACAGAACTAGCCCTGTATTCCAATAAATGTGTCAAGATTTCTTTTTCCCGTGTTTCAGTTGGCAGTTGGCTTCTAACATAAACTTCGGCTTCCACTGTGGACCTCTATGGAGATTTGCACATTTTAAGGTGAAATTGAGCTGTACTGTGTCAAGATCCGCAAGCTTCTTCGACATTTGAGATATATATTTTTGCAGTTTTTGACTCTTTGATGGCATTGATGGCGCCATCAATACTCCCTCAAGGACCACCTGCTTAGCCGTTTGACACGAGTGACCCTAACAGGAGTGAAAACGTTAAAGGGTACTCCTTTCTGCTTCTGGAGTAGTGGTGCTTGGACCAGACCCTAATAGGTATCTGGTCCAAGCCGTTGAAACTCCTCTTGAAAGTAAATAAAACAAAAGGCAAATGCTTATGTTGGTAAATGAATCTCATTTCATACTCCAACATGGTTCAAAGCCGCGGTTGCAGTCGTGATCCGAATAGCTTCACATCGGTCTTGGCATATCGGTTGTAGTCTTGACGAGACGCAAATTTTTGAAACATTTAATATTCTAAAAATAATAAAAAATTATGATAAACAAAAATAATAAAAAATTAGCAAAAATAATAAAAAATCGAATTAACTCAAGATGATTCAGGACGATTCAGCCATTTCTATTCGTTTCGAAAACGTGTCGATCGAGTTCTTGGCGATCTATTATCGCAGAGTCGTCTCTTCTATTATCGCAGAGTCGTCTCATCCCAGTATCCCCGATCCGATGACGACTCGACCGAGTCTTTGAACCATGTACTCCAACGCTAGAATAAACTTCAACGTGGTCTGCAAAAACCCGTTTAACAAATACATTTGCGTTTATTTTGTTGGACATCCCAGTTGAATCTATTATCAGGGGGAACAAATCACGGCCAAACTTACAAATTCAGTAGATTGTGATTCTACTGAGACGGTCAGATACATTCTCAAAGCCGAGATTAACAAGGAAATAGAATTCATGGAACATGAGTGGTATAGATAAAGGTCCACTATGCAAGTTGCAGTTTAGTTTTTCCTCGTTTCGATGAAACGAGTAAACTGGGCGATTTAATACCTATAGTCAATAAGCACTTTGCAAAGATATCTTCGCATCATTCCAGCTTCATACAGAATTCCAATTACAATATCTGCATTTCCAACCAATCACAGCTCTAAGCTCCAAAAACTATATCCATCTCACAATAGGTAATTGCTGTAGTTACAAAACAACTGCGCTCTCAGCATGGCATCTAAATGATCTATAAGGCTCGCATAAGTTCAACTTTGTGGCACTTGGTGAAAACCTGCAATTTCGGCCTTTAAATTTGTTAATGCTAGCCTACTAGCATTTTCTCAAGGTTGGATTCCAGCTGATCAGAGAGCCACCTAAACTTTTGCCTGGGAATAGTGGAGCTTATCTAATATGAAATGATTCTCACTCGGTCATCTTCACTTATCCGAACTTCATGAACTCGTGAAATGATCAGAACCTTTGATCTGCAAGTGAAGATACCAAATTCAGCATTCTTGACCAACAACTTTTGAAGGAACATTTTATCCAAAACATGTTAAAGAAAGAAAGAACAAGATAAATATGTGTGCATGTGTCTGTCTAGTTTTGTGAGAGAGAGAGAGAGAGTTACCTTCCAAACAAAATTTTCGAGCTTACAAATGCTTTGCTCGCCAATCGACTGTTAAATTCTCATCACTGTCATCATCACTTGATGACTCCTCGTTGATAGATTTCTTGCCCAAATCTTGAATACCATTACCATCCACAGAAGACCTAGCAGCTTTAAGCTCCATTTTCTTCCTCCTCAACATCTCCACTCTCTCTCTATAGGTCCTGAAAACACGGAAATACAATATCCAGGATTATTCCAAAATACAATGATAGAGTAGGAATTTGAATGAAAACATAAAAACTTTCTGGAGTCCAGTATATGTAAGTTCACTTCGAAACAATTTAAATTCTCAAGAATTATATATTTAAACTGGTCACCAGACTACATCAAGATGAAGCATAAGATGTTTTGAACTGGTCTATTCCTTTCTAGCTAATAAAAGCTTACCTTTGCTCCACAGTTTCAGCCTCTTCTATCATTTCAGCGGCATCAATCTGCAGATCAAAAAGAGAATGATAAGCTTATGGCAGGCATGCAAGGCAGCAAATGTACATGAATGATAGAATTCATCATTTAATTGTAAACTGAAAGCTAGATGACCTCTTCTTCTTCCAAACGATTATCGATTTCTTGCAAGTCTTCCTGAATCAACTTTTCAAATTCCTTGTACTCATCCCTGTCCAGAATTTGTCCATCAAGTCAATATCATTGAAACAGAGATAAAAGAGAGGGTTTGGAGGAAAAAGAATCTCAACAACGGTAAATTAAGTCGGTGCATGACCAAAACCAAAAGCCACCTACCTTGTAATAAACCCAAAGGCACCAGGACGTTCTCATTATTAGAGTAAATTAGCCAATAACCAGAACAAAAATAAAACATCAAATATAATTCTCAAGTTTCTCCAAAATGTTGCATGACTTTCAAGCCCCAACTGGGCTTATCTGGTAATTGGGTTTATGCAGTTTTACTGCAGAATAAAAATGGATCAATTTCTGCCCATACAAGAAACCATAATTTACACCCATACTAATCAGCCAATAAACATGGCCAGGAAACCCAACAAACCAATCAGCACATCACAGAACAATTCGAAGATGGAAAGTGGCAGTTGGTTTTCAATAAACATGGCCAGGAAAAGCTTTAAACAGCAACCATACTAGTTTTCTAATTTCCATAATCACCAGGCAAGCAAATCCATATTTAGTCATCAAGATTAAATACGACCAGCAAAATGGTAAAAGGACACAGTTTCTCAAGATGAAAGGACAAAAAATGAGCTACGTCTAAATGCCATGACACTCAAAAACCTAAACTTCAATTCATAATTCTACTTAATTCATCTAAATGCAAACAAGAAAGCTAACATGACAAACATAAAAAATTGCAAAATTTAGTAAACCACCTTTCACACTAGCGAAAGAAAAATGGCACCTAGCATGTCTAAAAAGTATTCTTCCTTCAGCAGCTAATAAATATTTTCACTACCTAACTTTTAGAAAGAAACATAACGTCCAAAAATGGGGCTCATGATGACATAAGATACCAGGAGAGCAGGGAAAACATCACACCACTTAAATGAATACTCAAATGCCTCTCTTTTCTAGTGAATTACACGATAACTATTTCACCGTGAACTAACTTTAAAAACAAAGTTATATAAGGACCAAGACACATAAGTAAACAACAATACTTACTTGACGTCCAGTTTAACAGGTGTAATGCCACGTGCACGAAGGTCTGCATCTTTGTCATCAAAAAAACCCTCAGGAAGAGCTCCTTTGACTTGCTTAGATTCAGGGACAGCAGTCTTTTTGGATGTCAGGCCTTTTTCTTTGGAAAACTGAATGTCAACACGTGTATCAGCAATTCTATTCTTAGTAAAGTCATCCAATTTACTGTTTGAGGCAAAGGGATCCACCGCTTGAGTTTCTGCAACCACTGGAGCATTTCAACCTAAGTCAGAATCTGCCATCTTAGCAGACACCACTCATTAATGGCATCAACAATATGAATTAGAAAACTCATGAAAATGTCCAGTAAACTACCCCCTGCATTGTCACTATATATGCACTAAGTAGAAGTTATAAAATTTTATCCAAAAGGTTTGTCGTGCAGATAAATTGCATCCTCATCTAGTTCTTTGTGATTTCCGAGAGACATGGTATAACAAAGTGTTCCTTTCTGAGCTTCTTCTGTGCCTATTGTGAGAGATTATATGAATAGGAGAATTCAAGAGAATCGGATCACACCTTGCATAGAAAAGACACTGAAGTTTTTTGCGGCAAAATGGCATCAATTTGAAAGTAAATTTTCAATTACACTTGCAAATGAGGTACTCTATTGCATACAATTTGCACTTGCACCTCCAATGCACAGAAAAAATCACAAAAGCACATGGTCTTTCAAAATTCAATCCATTTTAAGGCACCCAGAATCATGTTATAGATACCAAAATCATCATGTCCATGAATGTAGAACCCAATTTACCTGTCCTCCAAGACAAATTTCTCAATAACACCACAA